CTGGTTCAGTCCGGCATCGCAGTTGAAGTCACGTTATTATCCGTTTTTTTCCATCATTCATTTAAACACATAATCAAAAACTGAAAAAACGAGTCATTATCTGTTTTTTCATTTTGGTTTTGGAGACAAATACGTTGTTTTTTCGTTTTCTTATTTTTGGTTTTATATTGAAAAAGGAATGATACACGGCTTGATTGGTGTATGTAGTTTTATTGCAACTCTTTAGAGAACTAAACCTTAATATGCAGGGTTTGTGTGTTCAACATGTGTGAATGAAACAAAACACAACTCTGGGTATGTTTTTTGATGAAGAACCAACATTATAACGTAATATAAGCCCTTTAAAAGACATTGACATTGGTCCCACGCACCATCTGAAACTCTGACATCATCAATCCTTATGAGATATCGACTTAGAAGCCGTGTTTATGTTTCTCAAGACTATAATAAATATACCAAGAAAAGCAAACTCTCTAATGACTACTTAATGTAATTTATTAAACTTCTTCCCCATGGGCTCAGGACCTTTATGTAGTATGGTGTATATTCTTGGATACTGCTTTACAGGTTAAGTAACAACAATATATTTTAGAGCTGCTTTGAGACTTACCCTGGATTAATGTTGTTGTACCCTTTGATTAGTCTCCACCACCGTGAATAAAGTAACGACCCAGGTGAGGCTGTGGTCAGGAGTGCCCATTTCACAGTGTTATTATGATGATATTTTTATGCGTGTTGAAAATAGGCTCATATCTTTATCTTCGCCGCCTTGTAGGAGTTTCTTTCCGTCTCGGCTGAAAATGGCTGTATAATCCTAATGTGTTTCCTCGTGTGCTGCAGACTTTTGCTAATGTACCCACTGAACCGATTTTTAGGAAGAGATGGATTGTGAACCAAATAATCCAGTTAACTTTTTATGTGTTTGTAGGCGAAAATTCCTTAATGTCTTTACGCTGACTTATGAGCGTCTCTATAGCAGCTATTAACATATGATAATCACTGGGCTAATGGAATGTTCCCCCTCCCATTCCTGTTTTCATCTACATTTTTTCAACATTTTTGTAGCTTGAAATTCCTGCCAACGTGCTTCCGTCTATATAGGTCCCATAGTAATTCTGCTTTCCGCACTTTTCCTTTTGCCTCCTCCTCTCCGTCTGTCCTCGCCCCTGGCTCCAGCGGTCGCCGAATTACAAAACCAACTACTGACTCCATTAAAGTGCAATTATTTTTGAATATTCACACAATTTCTAATCTCGTATTTCTGTTTAATCTTTTCATGCACTTTATTCACCACTCTGCTTTCTCACTGGTGGCTGTTAATTGTGTGTGCTTGCATGAGTAAGCAACAAATAGGGTGCTTTCTTTGGGGGAATTGGGTGAAGCAAAAAAAAACTGTGCTTAGCTGTTACTCTTGTATAAATATAGTCTGCTTGTGACAGTAAGACAGCTAGGCCCAGATATTTTGTACAGTGCCTCTGGCTGGAAAGTTTTGCTGATGTATACTGCAGGAAATGGTTGGTTTAGACAAAGAAAACATATAGTATTAAATTGCCAATATTACTTTATTTTCTGATTTGTGGTATAATTTTGTAGCCAGACTGGCGCCACCTAGTGCCTTCGCTCAATATCATTTCTCTCCAGGGACTAGGTCAGGAATCGGAATACACTAGAGTCTAGACGGTTCGCAAAAACCCTGGAAGTGCGAGTTTGGGCACCAGCCAGTCAGCAAAGAGCCATACATTCTGTGTTGGCAGCGATTCCTGAGATCGAGGATTTAAAGCCGGAACAAAGAGAATGTTTGGTGAATTTTATCAAGGGGAAAGACGTTATTGCCCTTCTTCCTACGGGATTTGGCGCATTACATATGTCACGATCAAATAGCAGTGATTGGTTAAATGAAAAAAAATTCCCGCTTACTGTCGAGCAAATGAATTCTAATGCTGCAAGGTCAGACGGTTTCTACGAAGTGAAACCGGCTAATAATTTTGTTCCCTCATCACAGTTACACCTGGAGTTGTCTTTTGTTTCATTCACACATATTTAACTCATAATACAAAAACATTATACAAAACCAGTGATTTGTCCCAGTTTTATACAAGAAATGCCCCAGGTGTCCCTATTTTTGACCAATCTGATCCCTGCCAACAGTAAAGAGAGACATAAACTTGTCATTTGTTTAGGTGAAATACAGAAAAGCTGCTTAAAAACGACCAAAATACAAAGAAAATGTGACTATACTGACTCACATTCTGACTCACTCCTTAATTACGCACTCGTTTCACTATTTTATTATTACCAACCACCACAAACAAGGGATGTCCCAGTTTTTTATTTTGAAAATTGGGTCCCTGTGTGGTTCTGATGCTGAGTCCTGTCTCCTCATCCCGCCCAGAGTCCACAAACACAAACCAGCGCTGGGCTTTTTACTCTCAGCTCCTCTGTACCGGGAGTCTGTTGTTGTGACGAGTTCAGCTCGATACAGAACACACATAACCTTGCATATTTAGGAGTTATTCTCTCAAACTGAAAACACTAAGTTCCACCTTATGATGTCATGTGGTAATACGAGATACGATCCACTGTGTTTTTAAAATCCATACACCTTCACTAGAATCATTTGGATAATTTCAGCCCTGGAATTGTCAGTCTCTACCAAACAAAAGGTAAAGGGTAACTGTCAACTTGAAAAGTACCACAACATGACATCACAAGGTGGAGCATTTTGAGGTTCGTAGATATAGACGGGATAATAATAAAAGGTTACTCACTGATGTTTGAATGAAACAAAACACAACTCCAGGTATGTTTTTGAGGAGGAAACAACATTATAAAATGGCTTAAAGCTCACAAGAGTCAGTTTTCCGTAATATATAACCTTTAAATTATACTGTACTGTTTTTCAGATAATAAAGATGCATTTGTTTAATATGTGAAGTACAAACTGAAACATGACACAATTACATAATAACTCTCAGCACATTTTTACAGTTGAGGTGTTTTAAGTGTCGGTCCCAAGAATACAAAAGCATCCAATGTTGGCAGAGAAAGCAAACCCAAAAATTAAGAGCACTATTTCTCAAACAGTGGTACATTTCCTTTGTAGCTCTAGTAATGCTCCTTTGGGTAAGTTCTTGGTTACAACTACAAAAATGTTAGTCCTGCTACCTGATTTGATTAGACTTAACTTGGTCCTTGAATAGTCCAGTTATAGTCCTGGTTTAGACCTGGTGTTACTCAAAAAAGACAAATCTTTTTCTTAGCTGATGTGAAAAGTTTGAAAGCCTCTCACGTATCTAGATTTTTTTTTTGTGTGTTATCAGTTATGTTTAAAGGTACACTATGTAGAATGTTCCACAGTATGACACTAAACAGTTCTACCTTACATTTATTCAATTACAAGTGGTTTTATAGCTCAGAAATACGTAGAAAAACAAACATTCTGTGAGCGGGGTTGCCTCTCCACAGATCTGTCCTGTAACTTGGTCTGGTTTCGTCTTCTTGAAGATAGAAAGGTTTAAAACCATACTGTGAAGCATTCCAGAAAAAGCAATAACATCTTCATGGAGACATTTTTGATGGAGCAGACTATTTTTTGGACATTACTGTGTTCCTAATAAAGATCTGAACTGATATTTCTGTATGTCGTCTCAAATTTTTACAGCCAAATACACGCCTCATTTTTAAGACTTCATTGCAAATCCCAAACCTACGCTCTTCTAATTTTTGCCAACCAATTTTCTTCGGGACACTCTCTACTTCTGCTGCTATTTAGTGACAAACTTGGCTCCACAATCGTCTCTGCTCTGCCATCTTGGTGCTTCAAAAATCAACAGGCGTATCCATAATATACTTCAGATGATTTTTGCATTTCACTTGCTATTACGCTCCTGAAATGTTAGTGGCAAATCAGGTCTACTCCAGCGTGAAGCCTTTTGGGAAATAAGAGAGTATGTTAAGAGCATTTGTTCCACTTTGTCCAATACACAACCAGTTTGTGACATGAGTTTATATAGCGTAGTGACACTTGGAGAAATACTTGTTGTTTTCACAGTAGCTTTATTTTCCCAGTCCTTTTTGTGAGCGTTCTATTTGTGGCTTGGCTCTGTTACAAATCATGTTATTCTCAATATGGGAGTGATGATTTGATTGCTAATGCCAGTGCGGAGCAAAGCGAATAAGTTTGTGAGAAAAACTGAACACCTACACTGCTAAATCTGAAAAGTAATATTGTTTATTTATGGAAGATCCCCTATAACTAAGGCCATCTTTTACACTGTGTTTTATTGTCCGCTTTAGCTAACTCAACACAACTGCATTATGGGGGTTTAGTGCATTATGGCAATCAATAACAGGAATGGTGCACTTACTTACTACTTTTACGACTCGAATAAACCCCAGAGGCCACTTTGCTTAAGGAACTGGCTACGCTCTCTGGGTCATTACAAGCTCTTTGTACATAGGGTCACGCTGTTTTACATGCTGTGGTCACCCTTTGTTTTCTATGGGCTACTGCGGAGTTAAAGGTCCTGTATTACGCAAAATGTCGTAAAATGTTGTTACCTCATCAAAAACACACCTGGTGTTGTGTTTAGTTTCATTTACACATGTTTGAGTAATACTTTATTATTAGTCTGCTTACCTCCAAAGCTGAAAATGTTCAGTTTTTTAGTAGAGCTTGGTAATTCTAGGGCTGAAATTATCCAAATGGTTCTGGTGATGTTGTACGGAGTTTACAAACACAGTGAAGTACTTTCATTACCACGTGACATTACTAGGTAGAACAGAGTATTTTCTGTTCGAAAGAAGAACTAAATATGGAGGATTTGAGTGCTAAACATGTGTGAATGAAACAGAACACAACTTCAGGTATGTTTTTGATCAGAAAATAGTGTAATTTAGGTCCTTTAAATCCACTGTTTATGTGTGCTTAAACAAACAAACAAATAAACAAACAAACAATGTGGATACATCAGTTCTTATTTCTTGTCTGTGTTTTTCAGGGTTGGTCAAACTTGGGGTCCACTGTGTAACATGTCAGAAAGTCGCCATAAAGATTGTCAACCGAGAGAAGCTCAGCGAGTCAGTACTAATGAAGGTAAGTGAAATGATACAATGCATCTGAAGCTTTTATCTAATATGAAAAAAAAAAAAAAAGAAAGAAAAAAACAATTAATCTGGAATATTTACCAAAGGTTCACTCACTAACCAATGACAGCCAGCAGATGGAATAATATATGAGCTTTTAAGTAGGAATGGACTGATCCAGAATTTTGATACCAATGTATATCAACTGAAACCAGGGCAGAGACTAAAAATTATATTTATTTCCTTTAAACACAAACAGCATAATGTAAAACTCAAAATGTGGTTTGTAACTACTGAACAGCTCTGTAAAAATACAAGTTTAATATTATGAGACGTTTTGGGCCAAAATTGTCCATAAAGTTGTCACCAATTTATAGACCAAAATGGGATATTTGCCGATCCACCAAATTGTTCAACATTGGAGCTGATAAGCAATACCATTATCGTGTTGGTTCATCTCTACATTCAAGCAAATGTATAACTGACTGAGTGTTTCCCTGCCTCGCTCTGGGGGTCCCTCTCTTATCTGCGGAGCCTATCCAGCATTTGCACAGGGAAAGTGTGGGTCATTTGTGTGACAACTCAACCCTGACAAAAGTGTGATGTGTTTGGAGCGATCGGAGTGGCTGGAGTCTGTGTGACGTGTGACAGAAAGAAGGGATGGCGGGATAATGTCCTAACCCAGGTGTTCCGGAGCGTTGTGGAAAATGAACAGATGTCAAACGCTGACAGGGCTCTGACAGGACCAAGGATTCTGCTGAAACTGCACTTCAGAACCAATTACCCAACTTAGCTGCTGTCACTCTGCTCTCAGCTTGGAGCACACAGGGAGAGTGGAGTTTTACAGTTCTGTTTCTGAATTTCTCAACTTTATGATTTTTAATTAAGGCAATATTAATTATGCACTATATCAAGATGGGCATTCGATTCAATTTGAATCGATCGTCAGGAGAATTTTCGATTAATCATTAAAGTTTTTGTATTAAAATGATCATCATTATTATTACTATTACTAATCTGCAGAAATAAACTCAACTTTACAACGTATAAACCATAACCACTATAGAGCCACATCAGCCTGTTTGACGCAGCTTTGTGCACATTTGTTTTACAGAAACAAAACTTTAAACATGGCTCATTTGCATAAACTGTAACACTGATAAAAACAGCTCTTTCCTTGTGCACTGACGCGGTCAGATTCTGTCAGACTAAAGGACACAACTCAGTGGAATATAGGTGTTCTTTCTGTGACAAAGGGATGTAGGTCCCTTTATTTATTTTGGCTCCTGTTGTTAGACTGAAAAGCGTTTGTCTTTTGGTCGCATGCGCACTCAACTTTATGTTGCAGTAACCGTGATATGTGATGTGTTTACATGCACTATGACAAAACTGGGATACTCAAAAAAACAGATCATATCTGGGATACTGATGTGCATGTAAATGCACTCACTGAGGGATATAGTGATCTCCAAGGAGGTGTGCCAATGCCGAAACATGGAACTGTGAGGCTGCAACTCCAGTGTTTGCACTATCAGACGCAGCCTAATCTCCTTACGCTACACTGTGGTTATGCACAGCAACCTGCATTTGGTTTATCGATTAAAAATGAACATGATCGGCAAAATTCTTAATAATCAGTTATCAATTAATCGACTAATCCCTAGCACAATGGAGGCTGCGTCACCTGCTTGTCTCTGTTGAGATGTTATTGCTTGAATGTTTCACAGAATTCAACTTTTTAACATCCATGGAGGCAATCAGTGCACATTTAAAATTAGACACTACATGTTGCTAGTCCTTACATCTTGGTGGTGTTCAAGAGTCTTTTAATAATGTGTATAAGAGCAACTAGAATATATAAGTAAGTAAAAAGTTACTTTGCTCTGGTAATAGGCACTACAAGACTTTTTAGAATTGATTCGATATTGTCTGTGTAATACCGAGGAGGCCGAGGAGAGTAAAGGGGACAATGATGATGAGGAGAGTGAAGGGACCGATGAGAGGATGAGGGGACGATGAGATGAAGCTGAGGCAGCGCTGGGGAGGTGATGGGGCACAGCGCAAACCGAATTGGTCATGCATCTGTAAACGGGGGCACAGACTGGGCACTGATTGGACGAGGAGGATGTGTAGCGAGCAGCGGGGAGGAGTATTTGGAGTGAGTTGACGGCAGAGGAGCAGGTCAACTGGAGAAGCGTTGACGTAGACAGGAGCGAGGTTAGATCTTCCAGGCTGAATTCATGCCAGCTCCAATTCCACTTCTCCAGGTGAGGTCATCATTCTAACTTTGAGATCCAGACCACTGTCAACTGCCAACGCAACGTAATTAGCCATCAGTGCCACAACTCTTACCTGGTCCGGACAGGTGTTTTCTGATTCAATCCCAGCTGCCTCAAATAGTCTCAGTATGTGGCCTGGTCGTCCCCGTGTCTATTTTCCGTCCTGTCACACTGTCAGAGCGATGGGCCAGCGCTCCACTCTCAAATGTCACCTTTTAATATGCTAATGTCCCCGGGTCCCTGCAGTGCCATTAGGAGCAGCCTGGATTCTGCAGTACAGCTCTGGTACAGGTCCTGTCCCACACACATGCATCTGCTGTTTATGGATGTATGTAAGTGTCAATTATCATCTGTCTGTCCTTGCAAACAATGAGCTTAGAAAAAATGACTTTTGCCGACAGAGATGCAGAGAAGTTTATTGAGTTGAACAGTTTCCATTGTGTTTTTATGACTATTAGCTTTCTAAATGTTAGATTAAAGATATCTTTATTAAAGGTCCTATATGTGAGTAATTGTTAGAATGTTACCTCCTCAAAAACATAATCGGAGTTGTGTTTTGTTTTATTCACACATGTTTGAGTAATCCTTTATTATTAGTCTGTGTACATCTCTAAAGCTCAAAGTGCTGTTTCTCCTTGTGATGTCATATTGTGGTCATTTTTAAGTCAGTATTGTTTACCTTTAGTTCAGTAGAGATTTGCAAGACCAAAAATCCTAAAACTATCCAAATAGTTCTAGTGAAGGTGTGTGAAGTTTAAAAACAAAACACAAAAAAGGGGAACCACTTCCTGTATTACCACATGACATCACAATGTGGAACAAAGTGTTTCTGGTTTGTGAGAAGAATTCAGCATAAATATACAAGATTGGTGTGCTAAACAAGTGTGAATGAAACAAAACACAACTGCAGTTATGTTTTTGATGAGGAAACATCATAACATAGATCAGAAAATAGTAGGGGTGTAACGATATCCAAGTCTCATGATACGATATCGTCACAGTATGAACCTCATGGTACGATATTTATTGCGATATCGTCAGAAAGCTCACGATTAGGAATGTAACAATATCCAAATCTCTCAGTTTTCACAATATATATCTCACGGTATATTTATTTCAATATTTTGTGGAGGCTCAAAACTGTTAATATGCTACTTTTTCCTCTTAAAATGCCTTGATAAGACTTCATCCAAAGAATTAAGACTTGAAAGTGTTTAGAAATGTTATTTCTTCTCATAGTCTACACTGAAATGGAGCAAAGGATCATGGTCTATGTAGTTCCCTCAGCCTTTTTTTTTTCTTTTAGCTATTGCTGCACCATAACTCTTAATTGAAGCAAAGAGACTTGTAATTCGATATACTGTGATGGTCCACGATATTATTGTGAGAACTTTGATGATATGATATCACGATATTTCAGTTATTGTTACATCCCTAAAAAATAGTGCATTACAGGCCTTTAATATAGCTGAATTCAAAATGATTGTTCATTATCCAATTTATTTATTTATTTTTGTTTGTTTGCTTGTTTGTTTTCTCAACTTTTATGCAATGCTGGTGCCAATTCTCTCAAATCTGTACTTACTATGGGCATTCAAAATGGCAACCACAACATTTAGTCCATATGCTGGTCTGACAAATTGTTGGAACAGAATGCATTGCCAGAAGCAGGAATTGAACTTCAAATCTTCTGCTAAATAGCTAAACACCTTTACCAAGCTCCTGCTGCTCTAAAATAGTTTCTTCATATAGTATCTGCTTTCCACTCTGTGTTTTCAACTCACCATAACAAGGACTCAACCCATTTATAGTCCCATTGGTTCTTACACCACCCACCAGAAAGAATTTTAATTGTCTTGGATAATGAATTGTCTGTGAACTTTGAGTTAGTTTGTAACAGGGGGCTGAACTTGAACTACTTCAAAGACCAAGCCTAGTTCAGTGTTTTTTCTTGCAAGCTAGAAATCTAACAGTTGTTGGATCTGAGTAGTAATAAAAACCCGCGGGGAAGTGTCATATATGAGAGGCTTGTGGACTTGACAGTGTGGTAGCAGACTTGCACAAGAGCGATGGGAGCTAACACTTGACTGTGAGCTGGTGTGTGCCTTCAGGGAGTAGTGAGTGTCTGAGAGACTGGGGTGACCCTGAAATTTGTCCCTGCACTGTGGGAGAGAGAGAAGTTACGGGGATGTCAACTTCAAAACACAGATCTGATAGGGTTGCAACAGAGTGTTTAAGGAGCTATACAGTTGTAACTAGTTGTAGTAAACTGACTGCTCAATTCTTAGTCGCAATTGGAGGTCATGTACAGGACTATATTTGGGGGAAAAAAGTATTCTAATTGTGAGTACTAGAGATGCACCGATCCACCTTTTTCAGTTCCAATAACGATTCAGATACAAAAGCTACAGGGGGCAGCTGAAATGAAAATTGTTAAACTGCACAATTATGTTGCAGTACAGTGAGTTCTTGAGTTTAGTTAATATTTGAAAATACCATGTTCAACATGTGAGTTTATCTTTTGGATATTTCATGGTAAAGTGCAATGCAATCAATAGGGAAATCTGTCTCTTGCCCCCATTTGAGAGTCTGACACCACCACATCTCAAGTAACAGAACAGCTTTGTGTAAATAAAAAATCACATATTGTGAGACTTTCTGGCTCCACTATGGCAAGTAAATAACCTTATTACATCATTGTATATGGTTAGGATATCGAATGAACAAATAT